GGAGGGGGGGCTGCGGGCAGCGGGCTGCGGGCTGCGGGGAGCTGGGAGCCGGGAGCGGACGGCGGCATGGCGGAGAGCGAGGCCGAGACCCCCAGCACCCCGGGGGAGTTCGAGAGCAAGTACTTCGAGTTCCACGGCGTGCGGCTGCCGCCCTTCTGCCGCGGGAAGATGGAGGAGATCGCCAACTTCCCGGTGCGGCCCAGCGACGTGTGGATCGTCACCTACCCAAAGTCCGGTGAGCCCCGCGCCGGCCGCGCCGCGGATGTGCGGCGCGCCCGCGTGGACCCTGCGCCCGCGCTGCGGGCTTCTCGTCCCTGCATGGGAGGGTCGGGCTGGGGTGCTCGCCCTCGCCGCGTCCACACGGTGCTCGGGACTCAACAGGGCAGGGCAAGGGTTGGCCCACAGGTGGAGAAACGGAGGCCAGAGACCTTTGGCGGTGTCCTGGGTTCACGGTTGGACAGTGGTCCGTGGAAATGGAGCCGGTTTGGCAAGCGCTGTCAGGAGTAGGGGGCCTTCCTCCCATTTTATGGCCGGCTGTGTTATATGGCCGGCTGTGTGACCTTGGGCAGGTCACTTGGCCTCTCTGTTCCTGAAGCTGGCCCAGTCATTGATGAGTGCAGAGTCCTGGTGATCACCTAAGCTGGGGGGACAAACTGGCGTCAGGGCTGTGTAAGTCCTTCCTTCCTGATGGGCTCGGGTGGGGGATGGTACCAGCCCTGCCCGGAGTGCTGTCCCAAGCTTTCCCCTGGTTCAGGGCTGCCTCCAAGCAGGGTCCTGCCTGCACATTTCCAAGCATTCGCCCAGCCAGGTCCATGACAGCCATGATGGCCGTGCCCACTTTGCATCCTAGCCCTAGCGCTCAGAGAGGGGAGGCGGCTTGCCCAAGGTCACTCAGCTGTTGGTTGGCAGACCTGGGATTTAAAGCCAGGTTCGCTGTCCCCAGACTGATGTAAGAGGTGGGCATGTTGTGCTTCTCTGAGCTTTGTAGGGAGAGCTGTAGCCTTCTGTTCTTTGACTAGGCCCTCAGAGGTCCCTGAAGCCCTGCATTTGAGGGTGATGCCCGAGGCCGTGGTGTGGTCTGAGAAGTGCCAGGCCTTACGGTGGTGTTGGAGCGGCAGTGGAGTCGAGCAGGCTGTGAGACGCGATCACTGCCCTGCAGAGTCCAGACACCTGGGGTGGATCCCAGGCATCCCTCAGAGGAAGGTTAGGGTTGGGGCTGTTGATGGAGGGGTGTTATGGGTCACTGAAGGCCCTGAGGTCGTTGGAGTTGGAGCCCTGAAGTTGGGGTGAGCTGACTGCGGTCTGCAGCCCTGTCCTTAGGAAGAGAGAGGAGGGGGGACACAGGGTGCTCGCTGCCCGGGGGGGCTTCCCCAGCTGGCAGTCCTTCCCTCCTGGGAGGAGACATTTGGGAGTTGTGAGATTTTAGAGAGGCGTGTGTGGGTTTGGAGCTGTACTTGAGAATGACACACGTATATAATTTTTTAAAGAATTATTTATTTAATGTAATTATTTTAATTTGACCAGAGAGAGAGAGAAAGTGAAAAGGCAAACCGCCAGGTCCAGGACTTAAACCGTGTTCAGCCACGTGGGGGTCCAGTGTCTTAACCACCATGTCCCCTGCCAGCCCCTATCATGGTGTTGCTATAAGATGTATGAATGTTCACAGTAAGTGGGATTGGATGAAGATTAAAAGCAGCTTCATGTAGGTTAAGACAGGGTCTGCCTCCAGATGAATTGTGGAGGCAGAACAACTAGCCTTGTTTGTTGGAGCTGAGGACCAGGGATCCGGTCCTGTATTACTGCCTCAGTCTAGGGATGAGAAGTGAAGTCACTGCGAGGGCTTGGAGGGACCCGTCATGTCTGATGACCTGCTGTTTACACTCTTATCTAGGAGGGGCCTCGGTGGGTCACTTGGAGAGCTGTGTGCCCGGGGCTGGTGGGCGTGTGTTAGAGGGATCCTGCATCGGGCGGGTGGGTTCTGCTGGGACCCTTCTGTGCACCCTGATGGGGACTGCAGTGGTTTAGGGATGTTTTCTAGGTAACCCAAATGACACCTTGTGTAACTTGCCTCTTTGAAAAACACACAGAGGCACATCCTAGACTTTTTGTTTTTGCTGCAGAGTGAATATCTTCACGGGAGGGGGGGCTCTCACTCCCCCAAAGAAATGGTCACACTGTGGTCCCATCTTCTCCAGTCTCCTCTCAGGATTTTGGACACGCACACACACACACACACACACACACACACACACGTGCGTACAGGTGCACACGTGCCTGGAGTGATTTTCAAGCCTCTGGGTCTGGGACTCAAACCGCCCAGCTGGCCATGGGGGATCTGGCGCTTTAAACTCCATGCCACCTGCTGCCCACCCACGCCCCCAGCCCCCATCTAGACTTTTTAACAAGGAGAGTAAACATCCCGGTTCCCTCCTTTGGTAATTCAAAACCCAGTGGCCTCTAGACCCCACATGAGGGCTCTTCACACAAAGCCCTTGAGTGCCATCTTCCTGAAGCTTAAAGTCTCTTGGCAGTCTTTGTGGCCTCTTCATGTTCGTCCTGTTGGTCAGTCTGCCCGGCCATTCCTTTCACCTTTACACCTGTGGGCTCGGCATCCCGAGGACGGCCACGTGGGAGCCAAGTGCAGGCCAAGAGCAATGGCAGGACTAGCCAGACAGCTGACTGGCTCTGCCGCAGTGCTTCCAAGGCCCTTCATGCCCGGTGTCCCAGCAGGGTCTCCCAGAGCTCTCCACGGGAGGGCAGGCTGCTCCCCCATTGCCCAGGTGAGGAGGCAGAGGCTCTGGGAAGTCAAGTGACTTACGCAGTCTCATGGCCTGTGCAGGGCTGCTTGAGCTGGCAGAGGGCCTGGGCTCTCCTGGGAGCAGAGAAGTAGAGGGCGTGGTCTTTTCTGTTTCTTGCTTCTTCACATTCCCACGCTTACTCCTTTCTGCTCTTTCTACTCCAGCACGAGAGAGAGAAGTGTCCTAGAGGAGACAGAAAGCACTCGCCTTCACCCGGGGCTTGGGAAGCCTTTTACCCTCCCCGCCCCACTGTTTGTTTATTTTTAAGAGAGATTTTTGCTCGCTTGCTCACCAGAGAGACAGAGAGACAAGAAAGCAAGAAATCACACACACACACCCCCGGCAGGGTGGCCACGCCACCGTCTCTTCCTCTGTTCTCCTCCTAGGATCTGGGGCATACGTGTAAATGTGCCCAACGTGAGTTTCAAGCCACTGGGTCCAGGACTTGAACTGCAGTCGGCCATGTGGGAGTTCAGCAACGTAACCATTATGCCACCTGCTGGTACCCGCTGCACTGTTTGTAAAGTTCATTGCAGAAATGATCAGAGGGCTGATGAATTGAGCCTTAAAGTCTGCCCTGGAGATTCTCTCGTGTAGAGGGAGGGCCCTGGTGTCATCCCGGGCACAGCTGGTGGAGCAGGAAGGGAAAGTCTGGGGACCTGGGGCCTCTGCTCCCTCTACAGGTCCCGAGCTTGCTGCACAGCCGCTCCGGACTCCGTGAGGGGCTGTGAGGACTTGCCACCTGCAGTTTGGCACCGGACCTAGGTTGCTTTAGGAGTGGCTAGGCATGTCCTCGGCTTCTGAGACCATTGACTGAGGCCCGAGTGCCTGGTGCTCTCTCCACTGTTAATCAGGAGGAATGCCCATACCTTTTTCTTCAGAGGCTCAGAGAGGGCAAGAAGTTGCTCAGAGTCACACAGCAGCTGAAGGACAGAAGCCAGGTCTCCTCTGGCCCCAGGGAGGGGGCAGGGGCTGAAATCCAGCCTTCTTTCAAGGGAGCTTTATGGCCCTGCCAGCTGCTTAGGGACTGCAGGGTTTTCGTCCCTGCTCTGAGCCTCCCTAGGTAGACTTCAGGTGGCCCTGTTCACAGTTCTTTCCCTGGCCGCCTTCCTCGGGCCTTCCCGCCCTCCCTCCCTCCCCACCAGGCAGGTCGGTAGGACACTGGTACCGGGACGGAGCACCGTGTTAGGAGTGCGAGGGCTCCTTCTTGGCTGGGTGGCCTGGACAGATGACAGCCCCCTGGAGCTGTGGTTTCCAAGGGGGGAGACCACCTGACTGCCCCGCCGCGTGGCTGTGAGCCTGCCCACGTGACGTCTGAGCCCCTGCCCTGTATGGACACCTGGTAAGCGCAGGGCAGGGCCTCGTGGTTCATGCAGCGTGCCCCTCCACCTCTCCCCTCCCCCGAACGCCTCTTTGCCCAGATGCTTTTCTAGGGGCTGGGTGACTGAGAGGCCCATCTGGCGTCTGTCCTCTGAGCTCAGTCTGCGGGGGAGGCGGCCATGGCTGCTGCTAGGATTGGGGCAAGTGGCCAGGACTAACAGCTGCCCCTCTCCCGTCCTGGCATCCCCAGGGCCCACATCTAGGAGGTCTTGAGGAACTCACTGGGGGTCAGAGCCGGAAGGACAGGCCCTTGTCCATGCCATGCTCTCTGCTCGGGAAACTGCAGTCCCCGGGGTGGGGGTGTCTGGTGGCAAAGGCAGAGCTAGTCAGAGCCTGGCCCCCGCTTCCCACGGGCACTCCCCACAGCACTGCACGGCTTGCTGGTGTTCTTGTGTTTCTGACATTTTCACTCAGATGACAAGTTGGGACTGCTGCCCCCACAGGAGCCTCTAGTCACACGTGGCTGTTGAGCGCAACGACTTAAATGGGATAAGAGCAGGGATTCAGTCTTTCCACGGCCCAGTGTGGGTCATGTGACAGACCTCCATGGCCACGTGGGGCCTGGGCAGCAAGCGGTCAGCACAAGGTGGGAGAGCTGCGTCGCCGACCGCCCTGCATGGCACAGGGTGGGAGAGCCGCAGGTTAGGAGAGCCGTGTCGTCAGTGACCGTCCTGCAGGGCACAGGGTGGGAGAGCCGCATCACTGACCGCCCTGCACGGCACAGGGTGGGAGAGCCACAGGTTAGGAGAGCCGCCTTGTCAGTGACCGTCCTGCAGGGCACAGGGTGGGAAAGCCTGTCACCAACCGCCCTACAGGGCACAGGGTGGGAGAGCCGCGTCGCCGACCGCCCTGCAGGGCACACGGTGGGAGAGCCGCGTCACCAACCACCCTGCAGGGCACAGGGTGGGAGAGCCGCATCGTCGCCGACCATCCTCCTAGACGGCACTAGTTGGATTAGGTCCTGATGTGAGAGCTGCGGTGACTTCTGAGCGGCCCTCTCTGTGCTCCATCCTCGTTCATCTTCTGGTTCTCACGCCCCCGTGTCCCAGTGTCTTGT